GGCGTGATTCAGCTGTTTTCGAAAAAAAAGTAGGGAAATCAACCCCAGATTATTACGTGATACAGTGTTGTGTGGTTCGATTATTAGCGTCGATTACTTTGATTGAGGTTGTGATTATAAGGGATAAAATCTCCTCTACAAGCACTTCACTTGATTTACATTTGTTAAGTGTAACACGGTTATAGCAAGTTTTTAGAAGCCGGTTGTATAAAAGTTCAGTTTTAAATTTTCAGTTTACAAATTTTATTCATGATCGGTTTTCCAAACGACCTGTTGACTAGTCACAGGGTTAAATATTAATTTTCGCTTTTGCTTATAAATAGTTTTTGATAGACTGGGTTATTTGGTGAAGGGTAGAGTTTAAAATAGTAAATAACGTTGAATGCTTACACAGACAAGGTCTGATGTTGATGATAAAGTTTATTTTGTCATCGCAACACTTCAAGAATTAAAATCTTTATCTTAACTTTAGTCAGTTTTACTTAAATGGGTGCTCAAAGAAGAAAGCAGCGTTTGTAAGTCTTTTGAATTGGAGAAATCTACAGACAATTTTTGACAACACCCACAACAATAACTTGAAGATAAAGTTTATGATGTTAAAAATATTGAACCACAGCATTTGTATATGTGTATCAATGGCCAAACCAAAACAACACTCTGTCTCTCAACACTTTGTGTCAGATTGCTTCACAAGATATGAATGAAGTTTTTTTCAGTCAGAGCAGATATTGTCTCTGAGAGGCTTGATTGTATTTAGCTATTTAGTAATATTGTTTTTAAAAAGTTTTTGGTGGTTCAGGAGTGTTATCGAAATTTGTTACAATTGTGATTAAACAAACAAGGCAAGATGACCTTTTTGTTTTTAGTTAACCCCTGTCTGAGAGAAAGCCTGACTTAATATTTTCAGTGCAGTCATATGAGGGACATGGCTCTCTGCCATGTTGTTCACATTTAGATAATCAGGTCTTGGTAAAGCTATTTTTTTAGGTAGTTTTGATATGGATTTTGAATTTTCTTCTAAAGATGTTTAATTTCGTTATGCTTAGAATGCCTTCTTCAGACAACACGGTCTCTCAACTGAAGACACATCTGCTAAATACAAAAGGTAATTTAAAGATAAAAGAAGAGTTTTCTGTTTGTTAAGAGATGTGCATTACTAAGCAACAAATCAGTTTTTCCCTTTGTAGGGAGCCTTATTGCAAATGCAAAGTCAACATCAAAATGCAAAGGAACATCTGGAGAAATTCTCTTAAAGGAAAAATCTTAGTGCACATTTAAATATTTTATGAATTTAATTTGGGTTGAATTTTTGTTAATTACACTACAACTCTAAAGTAAGGTGGCAGTCCCTTGAAACTCAATCGTTAATCCTGAATTCCCAAAAACTTTGAGGATTGAGGCTTGTGTTGAGTTTCCAAATGCTTGAAATGAGTTCAGGGTCTCAAAACAAGGAAACAAAGAAATTTTCAGCAATTGATTATTAACAAAAGTTGAAGCTTCTTACCTTTTGTTGTACTCATTGGATAAAAATCCAAACAGCGTGCATCATTACAAATGCAATAGAACTTCTCACAAATTCTCTCTGATATTTCTTACAATAACCTCGCAAATTATTATTTTCACAGTATGCATTAGTCAAAAGTCAAAAGAAACAGCTTGAGATCTTCTCTCAAGGGGAAAATCTAAACTCATATTTAGATATTTTGTAAATTAAATATGATTTGTAGAACTACTCGTCTACTTAACTCTTTCTCAACCACTGAAACTTATCAACATAGCAACAAGAAGTAATTTTTCTCATCATCCTCTGTGAGCTATTGACTATCGAAACTTTTTTTGACCATGATTATTGTCAGTGTTACAGAGTATATATCATCATTTGTTAGTAATAAGGTGTATTTTATACTTTTCATGTAGGTTGTGAGCTGATTGCATCTGTGTTCACTAGGGGTATGGTACGCTTAGTGAAGTTGCTAGTCCTTTAGGTGACCATATTGGGCAGCAAACTCAAATCTGCAGTATTTAAAAAGAAATGAGGCAGATCCTTGATTTAAGTGCATCTGTATTCTTATTTTTCATTTGCAAAGCCGTGTGGCTGCGATGTACAGGGAAAAAATTGCAACATTAGCAACAAAGGCCTTACAACAATATGGAACCCAGGTGAGGGAAAGTATTTTTTAAATGTTTCTGAGACAGGTTTTTATGTTGTGCTAATGTCTGCTTAAACTCTATACATATTCTTGTAAGTTTCATGTACCTTTTCATCCTACTTCAGGCACTTTTGGACAGTCACCATGGACCCCAGTCACCCAACTCTCCTGATCGTAAAGAACAAGATTTCTTCAAGGAAGTAGAGAGTCAATCTTTTCAACAGACAGTTATGATACCAACAAATGGAAAGAATGGAAACAACTCTGGTAAATGAAAATTGTGTATTGACTTGGTAAATGTGTAATTAGCAAACATGATGAAACTGTTAATTGATCTAGAGTCTTCTGTTACTTCAACTTGTTTAATCTCTTTTTCTAGGAAATGATTTAAACAAGAACATGGAAGATCTCAGTGTCTCACCACCAAAGCAGCAAGGTTTGTGTGATGTTTATTACATGTACTTCAGATATAGTGTAATGTGTATGTACTTATCCTCTTCTAACAAAACCAGTCAACAGCTTGATAACTCAAGCAAAAGCTTTGAGAATACTCATGGGTTTTAATTGCACACATTTATGAAATCTCAACAGTGGTTGGGTAGCACGCATTAAACTCCAAAGTACTGTAAGATGTACAGGTCTGTAAATATACTTTTCCTTTTCAGAAACCCGTGTGCCTACAATAGGAACAAGGAAGCCAGTTACAGCCAAAAAGAAAGGGGTGAGGTGTCCTTTTCATGTCATCAATTTTATGTTGAAGAGTTACCACCAAAATTGTGTCTGAGCATTTTTAGTGATCCTTTAGTTTCATGCTACTACAATGTGTTGCTGTTTGAATAAAAGCTGAAACCAACTTGAAGATTCCCTTGGCTATAAATGAATCCAGTTAATAGGGTAAAGAGATGTTCTTTGATCACAGTTTGAAACAAAGTGATGCACATTTACACTGCATGGTAGCTTACTTAGTGTCAATTTTGTACTACTTGTTGTAATGAATTAGTTCATGTGAAGTGTATTCTATATTTTTTGACAATTACATTTTTTACTTTGCTTTTACCTTAAAGCTTGGAGCAAAGAAGGGCGGGTTAGGAGCAACAAAGGTTTGTTTCTTTAACACTTATGTTTGTTAACTTGATGTTAAACCAAATCCTCATATGTGATTTACAATAAATAATGGAGTTATTTATCAGATTATTGGCGTTACTGGGTTATACCCTCTTAGTGGTGGTCTGGAACCTCAAGAAAAGATTTCTTTCGTCTGTACTTTTAATATAGATTAAAATTTTTGTTCCCAAAGGTGAAAACAAACTTTAATGAACTGGAGTCAAAAGCCCAACAGCTGGACAAAGACAAGGAAAAAGCAGCTCTTATGAATGCCAAGGAAGCAGAAGCAGAGCTTACTTCTCCAAACCTAGCATACAACCCAGTCAACTTTAAGAAAGAGGAGGATAAGCTGCGTCACTCTGATCCCAAAAAGGCTGCTCAGCTGGAACGCCTTGGAATGGGTGTCAGTGGAGGCAGGAAAGGGACAACAACTCCTGGTAGAGGTCACTCAGCATCAGCTGCTATGGCAACTGTTGAACAAGTGAAGCCTACTAAGACCCAGCCATCTTTTGCTGACAAACTCAGAGTGTCTTCAAACTCTAATATGGATTTCTTTGACAGGTAATATCCAGAGATGATAAATGTCCAATTCCCCCCCACTAGCAGTTGAAACACTTTCATTTCATTTGGGTTGTTACACAGATAGTAGTTGTTAACTTGGCCAGCAACAATGAATTGGTGCTGCAGCCAAATGCAGGATAAGTACTGTTTGTTAAATAAAAAGATGTAAGTTAAAAACTATATGTTGTAGGTGATCATAAGAGTCAGCTAATATCCACTGTTGAAAATGCATCAATTTAGTTTGGAATAAAAGACTGATGTACATTAATACATACATGTAGGTTTGAGCAGTTACACATTGTTTCTCTTCACTGAGCTAAGACACTTTTCTTCTTCTGTATGTAGCTATGGAATGGATGGCACAAGTTTCACTGAACCGCCTCCACTGTAAGTAATACAATCAATAATCAATTCAGTCAATCAACAACTTGGAAATTGCTTGCCTCCAACGAGTGTTAACTGGTATTGGTTACATTATTTAAACTATCACCATATCTTGGGTTGAGTTTTATCTTAATCTGTCCGTGCACTGATAGGTTTCACATAGGTTTGAACCAGTTTTCCTCTACAATATACATGTATGTGCAAGAAAGCACAATTAGTCTACTCTGAATTCCAATTCTACCTTGAAACAGTTGTGGAAGAGCTTTTAATTTGTGGATGTGCCACTACCTAATCTTATTTGCAGATCCTTTGTAGTTTAATTAAACTAGTCCAAAAGTTGTGCATGGTGTTGTCTGTGACAAGTACTAATCACTATTATCACAAAATGTATATTTCCCCCTTTTTGTTGGTCAAGAATCAAGAGGGTGAGCAGCAAAGAGTTGTCTACTGATGCATAATACTTTCTAACTGTGATTAGCTCTTATCAGTTTTCCTACTCCTGCATGATTTCTTTCTTTTTTTGGCTTGTCCTTGAAAAATGGTACAGTACATTGTCTCCTTAAGCTCTTAGAGAGTTATTTCCATAAACTCTTATAAACAACAAAGTTATTTCAGTAATTAGTTATTTGCCTCAGCTTACAACTGAAAAATCATGAACTCTGCTGGACCTCAACAATAGGTCGTTCTTTTCACTGTCTTTAACTGCATTACCGTTTACTTTCTGCTTGGGATTAGGTATGATAGTCCATTTGGATCAAGCTCTTGGGACAGAGGTCGAGATAGGTATGTTTAATGTGATTAGCATGCTTTTACATTGTAGCTCTTATAAGAGGGTGCCTGGATTAGAAGATGGGAAGAGCTACATTAATTTTATCCTAGTAAATTTTAAATGTTGTTTGCACACCTTGAGTAATCCAAGAATAGTTATTATGGTAACCAGTCACATGAACATCAACCCACCATTCATAGTCTTCCTGTTACTACTGTGTGATTACTCCCTCCTTTTTTTAAGTAAAATGTATTTCAAGTTGGATTGGCTCAAATGTTTTCAACACAAGAATGTCCCAGAAATACATGTAGATGTATTTTCAGTGCTCAGGGTATTCTGACTTTGAGAGTAAGACTCTTCAAGTTCCTCTACTAATAGATATTTTACTGACCATGATTATTACAGAGTAGATGAAAATGGTTATTTTATTGAATGAAATTTGTTGTTTTATACATAGCCTGGGCTGGTGATTATTTGTTCATAAGTACTGTAATTAGTTTGCAAAGTTATTTTTACCAATGTTGGGTTTTAACCATACTTTATTTGTCACTTGCACTTATCAGGGATGAAATAGGTTCATCTTTCTCCAGTGAGAGGCGCTCCAGTCGTGAAGAAAGGTAATTATTTGTGATTTTGATTTGATTTTCATCTTCATTTTGCCTCATTACTGGAGCATTCTATAATTGATATTTTCAAGTGCTATGCAGAGGAAACTCTCGTAAGGCCACACCCTCTGAATAAAGAAAAGTGACTATGATTGGAGCTGGCCCCCTCCAAGAGCCGCTCTTATACTGCTAATTGTCAGGCTTCATTTAGAGGTGTAAGCAATAGATGGTTGCTTACAGGAGCTCTTCCAGTTGGAGGGGTTACATGCAGACAGGGCTTAGAAATTCTTTGCCACTACATTTGATAAGAGGAACTCTTGCAAATTTTAGTTAAAGTTTGGAACCTCAAACTCAAATGTTTGCACTGTTTTTATTATATTTTGCAGGGTAAACAGAAAGAGAGATTCAGAGCCTGTGAATGTGTCATCAACAGGTAAAAATTCTGATTATTTTACATTGCTGTCAATTGTTGACTGAGCATTATATTGCTAACACGCATCCTTAATATGTAGATGAAGCCCAAAGAAAGTTTGGAAACTCTAAGAGCATTTCATCAACTCAGTTCTTTGGCAATGACCAGGTATGATGAAGTAATGATCTGTAAGATGAAATCCATAATGTTTTGGCAGAGTCATTTCCATAGTGCACCATTGGGCAATTTTGTGCTCAAGTTGGTCATTAGAGACATACCGTAAATACACACTCTACACTATGTTCATTGCTTAGAAGTTGAACTTGGAGTAAATGAGGTGTATTCACATAGCACCAATTACCTAAAGCTTATTGTGAGTGTCTTTGGTTTTCATGGTATTGTAGGAAGAATATGCTATCAAGTCACGACTGGATCGTTTTCAAGGATCTAACAGTCTTTCAAGTGCAGACCTCTTTGGTGATGATGATAGCAGACCTTCTCGGTCAAGTAAGAAATTTTGTTGGGATGACTATTAGCAACAAAATCAGTCTACCAAATTGATTGAGTATTATTTACTTTTGTTGAAAAACTAAGGGCAGACTTTGAGACTATTGTCATCATGAGTTGCTAAAACTAACCTGGAAATATCTATATTTAAGCATGCAATAATGTAATTTAGAACTTACTTTCATGCGTAAGGGTATGTATCACAGGAACTGGTAAATATTTATTATTTTTAATACTGGAGATCATTTTGCTATTAACTTGAAAGGGTTGCAGTTCAATACTATCCTTTCGTTGTGGTAATACTCTTGATTTTTTTGTCCAAATTAATCATGGTATGCATTTTATTTTTCCTTATTCTTCACTCAGATGCCTCTGGCAGTTTTTCATCAGCAGATCTTTCACAGCTGAAAGAGGGAGTTGCTAGAGTGACTGGAAAGGTAAGAATACTATCGATGTTAAGATACTGTAGCATGTTTAAAGCCCCATAACGAAATAAAGAAATTAAAACAGTGATTAGTAATTGAGAGATTAGAAAGATGATAGGAGAAAGTGTCTACAAATAAACAGATATTGAATGCTGAGTAAATGAGTATACCAGACATAATTGATACCAAATAATGATAATAATGATGACAGTGGTACTAACAATAGAGTTTATAGAAGTAAAAGAAGAGTACCCTAATAATTACTTATTAATTAGTTACTTGTCCTTTAAAAATTTTGACATTAATTTTAGATTTACCTGACAATAAGTATTTCTGTTTGCTGTGACACTATTCTGATTCTTGTTACAGTTGTCAAGTATGGCCTCAGGAATGATAGGAACAATACAGGTAAATGTTGCAATCAGTTCTCAATATATATGCATTACTGACCAAGTGTGAGGTCAAGATGGCTCTTCTTTTGAGTTTTTATGGTCCAAGAAAAGTTGAGGTCTCTTAAAACAAATACACAAATAGAATGAGGCTAATATTCAGAAATCTTGACCAAACAAGCATGGTCAGTGAAGGACTTCATGTTCAACATGAAGATTTTGCTTTTATTAATAAGAATCAAGAATGATGTGTTTATTTTCAAGTATTGGGAAACAAAGCTTGCTGGTGGGAATGGCACGTGCTTATTTCTTATTTGACAAATTGAAAAGTAACATGATTTTATAGGTTTACAGTAATGATGACTAAATGTCAAAAATTTTAATGGAATTAAAAAAGCTACTCAATCTTTCACAATAATTTTTTTTCCTGCTTAGTCTAATCATTTGCATCAGTAAAACAGAGCATTGTCTTTCTTTTGTTTGAAATAGAACAAGGACCACATGTTAAGTCAGTGATGAAAATTTTAACTTTTCTTTTCTTTCATTTTTCAGAATCGTTACAGTGGGTCCAGTTGAAGATTGTTTCAAGCTTTTGCAATTAACTAGGGGAATTTATCATCTTTGGTAATAATCTTACCAAAGGATGATAGAATTGGAAAAGTCACAAAGGCAGAATCCTTCCTTTTTGATAGAGTATTTATTTCATTTTATTCTTTTCCTTTGGTTGGAAATTAGATAATTAGATTCTCTCAAAATGGTCTGTACTAAGCATAATTTGATGACTCTCTGGAAGAAATCTGTTTTTGATGAGTTACATGATTGTGGGATTGCAATCCTTGCAATTATCTGTTACAAGAAACAAACTTCAGAATAATTTTAAATGAAATTGCTTTATTAAATTCCCTTGTGGTAAGAACTTTATTATAAAGGCAGATTGAGTTGAATGATAAAACAGCATTGTGAAGATTTCTGGAAACTGTTTCTTTCAGAAGCAAATAATTTGATACCGCCTTATGGTGTAATTTAGATTAAGATGTTACTCAGGGAGGAAAATAAAATGAAAGGAAAAAACTATTTTAACTATTCACATAGCTCTTTAGTTATAGAAAACTGTTCAGAAAGTCAAATTAGCGTTTTAGCAAAACATAAAATAAAATTGAAATGACAGTGTAATTGTAATATTCATTGCATTTTTAGTTGATGGTACTCTCAAAATAAGTTTAATCTTTTTCTCAAATTCATTGTCAATGAGAACCCAGTCACACCAACTGAACTTGTTTTGAAAAAGGAGTTAGTCAAAAATAGCATACAAACTGAAAGTATTCTAATACATATTCTATAAATAAAATTCATGCACCATACAGACTTGTTTAATTCCTAACATTTAAACATCTCAATCAGGTTTTTAAGATGCATGGGATAGTGTTTGATCAAATCATATAAATTGTTCACATGTTTATTGTTGATTAGCCTGTGCAAGACTCTCAGTTTGGTGAAGAAGTTCAATCCAGGCAGCAAACAAGACAGAGGTGATCTCCACAACCCTCTCCCAGAAGTGTGCCAATTTTCAATATTCCATATTTTTGGCTAGTTTTAATTGAATGAGAGCCTTGTACAGGGTAATTATTTGATTTTGACCAGTTTTTCACATAACAAAACAGGTTTTGGTTACAAAACTGTTTGCATCCATCACTGGGTTACAGGAATTGATAACTTAGAAGTACAGCATGTACATGAATGAGTTCAAGACATTTTCTTGATAATTTACCTTTCTCTAGTTTGCATCGGTATGTGCTTTATTTAGCTTAGCAAATTAGCAAGTAAATGTTTGGCAAAAATAGATTATAATAAGAAAGAATATTTTTCAAATTTAAAGGTATTGTGTGTGTATGGAGGGATCTCTTTCACTTGTTTTGTTCTTAAAACTTATAGTAGTGTTTCCATTTAAAGAAAATACTCACTACTATGAGACTTGTTACATCTCACCTTGATGCACATAACAACATGACTTTTTAATTCAGTAAAGTGCTGTGATTGGAGAGCTAGGTGAAATTCTGTTTTCATGTCTCCTTTCAGGATGCGTGCTCATCCTGCTATGGCAGTGTTACTGTTTCTTATTCTTTTTTTTTTTTTTCGTCTTTGATTAAACTATTTTACCATCTGGTTACTTCTCGTTTTAATTGTATTGATTCTTGTGATTTCCTGTCATTTTATCAATTGCCTCTCTCTTTTTTTCTTGACTACACTACACACATAACTTATAACACCTTTATGGGTGCCTCTTACCTTAAGTTCCCTCTCTTGAAAAAGTAAAAAAAATTGAAGGAAGGACCTGCTGAGCCCTCTCTGACCAATTAATTCCACATTTAACCCTATGTTATTTGGGGTTTCAAAGCTGTAAATAAAGTTAAAAGATCAAAACTGACTATGTAATTTAGTGTTATCAACTGAGTTGAAAAAATAAATTATCCACCATAAAGACTTAAACTCTTTATCGTGGCTAATTTACGTTTGTAACTTGGTTGATAACACTAAATTACCTTGTTATACTCTCCCACCAACGCAGCACTACAGTTTCTTTAGAAACTTAGCCCCCTTTATTCAAAACCAACAATGGTTTGATGTGGTTAACAAATGTGCTGTACATGCTGAGGAAGAGGTCAGGGAGGGGTATGTAGAGGGTGGAAAGAAAAATTTTAAAACTAAGGTGTTAGAAGGGTATTCTTGGAAAATTGGAGAAGGGTTTACTGCATACGTTAAGTTTTCAGAAAGCCTCATACTTTTTTATATTTATGTAAGACATTTTCCCCACCTTAAGAGGGTGGAAAAGGACGGGAATTTCGAACCTTAGTTTCAGAATTTTTGACTTTTCAGACTGGAAGCGGCAAAGAACCTCACTAATTTGAGTTGCACTCTACAACCCCCCCACCCTTCCCCCTCCCCCCTCCCTTTCTTCCCTCTCGTGTAAACTTGAAACCTGAAGGAAGGAGAGACTCTTGGAGTAAATAGGGGTAGGAATTCTTTGATATTGTAAATAATCCTATGGTTTGATATCACTGATTTCCATCTCAATTAAAAAATGATATTTCAAACATCACTGTTATGTTATAGCAGCCAAGCGGAGAGCGACTTAATGATGCTACCAACCCCTCCTACAGCGAGAGGTTTTAAAAGGACACCTTATGTATCTTACATAAACTTTGCACCTGCTTCACGAAGGAGGAGTCTGCGTTCACGCCAGTGTCTTCACTTTCCTTCGTTATGGTTTTCTAATACAAGTAACTCTCGAAATTTGACATGTAGAGACAATTTACAGTAATGGGAAATTGTTACGATTGTTTTAGCTCACAACCAGAGGTTGAAACCCCGGATCCGGTGAGTGAAAAACGCGTTATTCTGCAAAGATTTGTAGCTTGGTTTATTCTAACTTTATCGTAATAACATTCACTATAATCATGTGGGCTTTTGAGCAGATATACACAGGAAATAAATATTTTTCTTTGAGCGCCATTTTTTTTTGTATATATTTTTGGGTCCGTGGAAGACATCATTGTTGCGTATTTGATATACAGGAAATTAGAAGACGACAGCAAGAGGAGGCAGCGTTGAAGCGACAGCAACAAGTAAGGCTAAATAATTGTTTAAAGAATGCTGGCAGAAGTAATTCTCTTTGCACGGAATAAGCTTTAATCATTTCACTAAGCGTTAGGCTTTTCTAGCTGTTTGTGTTTGAAGGAATGGGGAGGGTTGATCAGAATTCTCTGGTTTGATACTCTCCAGCCTCCTGCACCTTTGACTCTTACCTTTTGTCTTCTTTTCTCTCTGCCTCCTCCTTGTTGACCCCTCCTCTTGAAAAGCTGACTGAAAGAAACCATCATTTCCTTCCTCCCTCCCCTGAGAAAGGGCTTATTTCCAGGTCATTTACCATGCCATGTAAAGCACTTGCTTACTACTTACAGGTAATGATATCTCAGTTTTATTCAGTATACCTTTACCGAATTTGTCTGTATTTTTGATTGGCTTTTTCTTGTTTAATATGCGAAATCTGTCATGGTTTGGATCCTTAGTTCACATGTTGTGAAGTGGGTCAAATGTCTCCTCTAATAATATCCCTCCTCTATCAGGAAATTATTTGCCTTTAATGCCACATTTCTTTTTTGGTATCACTTGTGATGGTGCACTTTTACTGTTCCTGGATTGTCTTTCAAGTAAAAATTAGCTATTTTTTTTTTCTTGAAAGGGGATTCATTGGTACCTTGATACCCAAATAGGGCTTATAAATTTCTCATTCTTAATTAGGCTGATGGTCGTGGAGTTAAGGATCCAGAGAGACTGAAGAGACAACAGAAACGAAGAGAGGATGCTGAGAGGGAGGCTTTGAAGCATGGTCCTTCTGATGGGGGATTAAAGGTTAGCACATTTTGGCATGAACAAGTTCATCTTTTATATTTTTAATTACTTATAAGATGGATGCCTTTTGTATCAAAAGTGATTTATTTATAATGTTTTACTCAGTGGGTTTGGCTTGATTGGTCTTATTCAACAGGGTCAGTGTGTAGTTTCTTGGGTATAAGTCACTTGATGACCTAAGTACCTGTAGCTTAGCAGCCTTTGTATACATGTATTCTACAAAGTGGTATTATATGTGGGTGGAAATCTAGAGCGACAGAGCTGAAATAGGGTTAGAGAAACCATTAACACCTGTTTTCACAACTTTGCCACTCAAAGCTTCAAACTACACACAAAACAACCAGATAACATGAAGGCTTCTTCTTTCCACTAAGGAGTATTTTAAACAGTGTTAAAATATTACAAGGAGTACAAAAACTGCTTACCCTAAACTTAAAAGGAAAAAATCAGTGGGATGTATCGACATACTTAATCATTGACAGTCTGCTGGGTCATTCGGCAATATCTCATTATTTTTAGTATTTACCTTTTGTTGGATGAATGTATTGTTGAGGAAGACAATTTAATCAGTTTGAGAAATCAATTTATGAAATAAGTACAGATGATGCCATGTGCTTAGCAAACTTTTGATTGAAAAGTAACTGTTATTTGCAACTTTTATGTTATGATTTAAGTAAAACATGACGGCACGCTTTTGTATCTCATCCATCATTTCTAACTGTGATCATTTCAATCTTTTCTATGCAGTGGACAGTTGGATAACTTTAGGACCAGGACAATCCCTCAAGATTGATTTCAATTCAAAGTCTTCTTTTGGAAATGTATATCTAATGGAAGCTTTAAGCTTTTGGAAAAGTCAATTTGGTTTAAAAAATGTATATCTATGTATATCTAAATCTCTAGTAACAGTGTTACTACTGATCAGAAACAATTTTTACTTACAAGTAAATTTGATTTCTGGACTACTTCACTCAGGTGTTGTAGAAGGCTGAGTTGCAAAATATTTAGAGTATAATTAGATATCCATATTTATCAGCCAGCGGGCAAACATGACATATGCTAGGCTTGAAGGTTCTAGCTCTAGGTTTCTTTGAAATTGGGTCTAAATCCACTGATAATCTGGTGTTATCCCTTAAGTAGATAAAAATGTCAATTGGCCACCATAAAGAATTTCCAAGGCTAATATTTCAAGCATGAGCCCTTTATTTTGTCAGAATGGCTAGAGTTCAACCCAGGTTAACCCACTGTCTCTGCCTGTTGGTGAGCTACTGAACTCATTTCTCACTATTTGGACAAAAGTATGGCACCTATTGTCAAATCTTTACCATCATACATTAAAGACAGCCAATGTGCACATGAAATTTTTTGCAATAATAAAAGTTATAGGTAGGTATATGTAGTCAAAGTAGAGAGCTGCCAGCCAGAAAAAATAACTTTCTGCTTTGTAAGTGACATAGCATGTTGTGTGTGGGTATTTTTAAAGCTGAGGCTGTAAAGAAATGTGTATAAGAAAACAACAGACTGCTTAAATCAAAGTTTTTTTTAGTCACTTTCATCCCTACTTGAATGAACACAACATTCCCTTTGGCTGAGACTGCCCATTTGCCAATAGGCTGTCTTGATTACCTTGCAAGGTAGAAGTAAAAGGCACTTAAGCTGTACAAAAATGGTAGTGTGAAAATTGTAGTTAAAGTGGGTATAGACTGTTGCAAATTATTATGCAAAGAAAGGGTATTTAAACTTAATTTATTTCTCACTGTGATGCTCAGGACTTATTAACAACTGCAAGAAACTTAACAGTTTAAAATTCAAATCAGTGCATTCTTGCTTTGTAATGAGTTCTGGTTTCTTCTCTGTGAGTGATGGTTGAATTGCCTTAATTTCAATCCAAATCACAAATGAGAATTGAATTATTGAAGAAAAATTATTAATTTTTTAGAAAATTAGTTGGGTAAAGTATTTAAAATCCAGTATTTATCATGTGTGCCAAACAGTTGTATGCATTAGGTCTAACATTGTAGAAAAGCCATAAAATGTTTAAAAGTGATGTCACTTACTAGTTATCTGTGATCAGTTTTAAAAATATACATGGCCAGGAATAATTTTGCAGGCGTGTTAGAATAACATTGTAAGCTAGTTTCACTTGACAAATAAAGAAGCCTCTAATGTACTCTTTACTGTTGAATAGTTGGCATCAAGTGGCCAGAGGACAAAAGAAGTGTTGAGGGAAACACCAGTCTGGTCAAAGCAAAAACTAGAAATTCAGCTAGCTTACCGTACATCTGAATTCTAATAGAGTACACTTTTGGAATAAGTCAGATTGAGTTATATTTAACACCATTTACCATAGTGGAGGTGGCTTGTGGTAGATTTTAAACAAGCTGGGAAGTGGCAAGGTAAATATCTACAGCTAGCTGCCAACACTGAAGTGGATATTCCTTTTAGTATCTACTAAAACAGGGAGCTGATACAGTTCAAGATGATTTTAACTCATTTATTCCTGTTGCAAATCCTGTGTGTTGCCTGGATATTTGGAGTTTGAGTAGCCAATTAGAGTGTGCCTTTTACACTTTCTTCTGTTTTAGTATGTACTAACAAAATTTAATCATAGATTAAGAATTTATTGCTTAGCAGTGAAAAAGAATTCAGATCTACAAGTTACAGCTGTTTTAACTAGAATCCACTCAAAGTCAGTTGTCTGTCAGTTTCCTCTTGCTGAAATGTGTTTGGTTTTTTTTTGAGAAATGTGTTGATTTGCAAGTGACAGGATGAGGCTTGAAACAAAGCTGTTGTGGTGGAAAACACGAGGACACTATTTTCTCAAGAAGAATGATAGGCTTTAATTTCCAGTCATGCTTTAGCTTGTATTTGCTGAGAGAAGGATTATAAACCAGAGTCCAAAAACTGCTTAAACCAAGCATAAGACAAACTCTTTCAGTGAATATCAAGAGTAAGACAAACTCTCGCAAGTAAAATAATTATGCACTTCCAAAATGAGGCAAATTTTATTAAACCTTTCTGAAACGTTGCAACTAATTTACAATAAAAAAAACATCTTCACACCAATAAACTCCATAATATAGCAAATTTTGTGAGTTTTTATTTTTAAAGATTTTGAAGTTTTCTTCAACTAAAAAAACAAATGTCTGCCAAAAATTTTCACTAGGCATAGCTCAACAAAGATTTTCATGCTAAAACCAAAAGAGAAAACTCCCCTGGAGTAAGGAAAGGCAGAGGAAAGCATGTTGAATTTTATTTCATTGTTTTATCAGTCCTTTAAGGCATCTAGATTCCAAGATTTCACAGAGTTTAAAGAATTTTTGATTAGTAATAAAAACAATAAGTATTAAATACATCTAACTTTCTGGGTAGGCTGCTGCAACCCAACATGTTCTAGAAGTTGAAAATATTACATTTCCGTCACAGTGACTATTTAAGTTCTGTTTGAAAAAAAAAAGCAGTGCAAATAATATCTATCCCTGTTGAATTTTTGTTCAATTCCACCTTGGATTGTCAATATTTTGTTCCCTAAAGCACAAAAAATTGCTGATCTGCCAAATGTAATCCCATAAAATTTTCATGCTCCACATTTTCTTGAAATTGCAACTTACAATTCTTGAGTTGCATTAATTTAAATATCAGCCATAGCATAACTGGCTCACAATGTTTAATCTTAACTTATCACCAATGATACCAGTATGTCATTCCTGATTCTCAATTGTGTATTCAAATTTGCTAATGAAACCCCAAAAGCAATTGTCTTCATTTAGAAAAAACTCCCTTTAAGCTTTTGGAAAAGTCAATTTGTCTTAAAAAATTATTCTTCTCTTGGTTAACCTGCCAAGCTATCAACATCTTTTCTTGCAACTAAATACAAAGTTTTGTGAGATATAGTTTACCCATCCCATGAAAGATAGCGTACATACATGTTAGTACCTTATTCCTGCTTAAATTTTGTTTAACCGCACACATGCACAAAAAAATTGCCCTATTCACAGCCTTGGCACAGCTTGCACATTTTATAACTCTACATAAATAAAAAGTTTGTGCCGCATTGACCTTGAAGAGGTTCATGCCATACTTAGGTCACTGGCAAATACCAAATTTAAAAGGCATCCAATGTATGCAGCACACACATAATACTATAAAAATTAAAATTCATATTTTAAAATTATTAAAAAATATTAGAAGTTTCTTTAATTGAAGGATCTAACTGGGTCCAAATACAAAGCTTTTATGTTGAAGCAGAGCATGGCATTCCAGGTATTTGACTGTGATGATGATGATGGGAACAGGCCTGAGGTGTTGCTAGGAAGACAAAATGATATGGCAATTTAGTGAAATTTCTTCTCCATTATGCCATGTTGGACACATTTTCTGTTTATTGCCGAATGTTTTGAACAGTCATCAGCTGAAATGTATTACGAACTATGACTCTAAAGGGTGTCTTAGTGGTCTGAATCATTTGACAGTCTCAGATCTATGCCCCTTATTTATGCCCTTATCTGAAAATTCAAAGATGAGAAAGTCACAATAATTTATAAGCCTTACATGAATCAATTACCAGCCAGGAATACACTAGCCACCACAAAATCAGTCAGAGAGAGAATACATACCCAAAGTACTGATCTTGTACTGTAATGAAAGTAACTTACATGTCAAAATTCTTCCTATCTTATTAGGATCATGGCGACTGATAAAGTGTTCCAATGTGTCCCATCCACCTCCAACTCTCACCATAACATGGTTCCTTAAAATCTTAAGTCACAAGAAAACAAGGTTACATTAAAAATTCATTCAAACAGTGTGCAGATCTAAGATTTTGATCATATTATCTTTTGCAATAAAAGTCTGTTTACCAATTGCAATCATATATTGGCAACTACATGTATAAATATTGTTTCAGACTCAGTCTTTCCCTACAGTGATAAAGCACTGATTGCATTGATGCTCATGCATGACTGTGTCTGCACAGTTTCACTCCTAGTATTCACAAACAATCTAGACTCTCTTCAAAGGCTTTCTTTAGATAATTTTCTTCAATTCTTTTTAGAACATACAGGCAGCAAATGGTAGACAAAAACAATAATACTGAATATTCTTTTAAAGCTTTCAGATCTGAGGTCAGATTTTACAGTAAACCCTATGGTTAACCTAGTTTTGAAAAACTTGGCCCAGATTATTTCTGGCATGAAAACCTCCAGCAGTACCAGCTTCTTAGGGCTAACACACAAGCACATTTGAGTTGACCTTAGCTTCACATATTACATGCAAAAATGAATAGTTTACACTACCAGTCACTGTGTATAGAACTAAATTACACAGTATATGTCATTACCCTGACAAAGATGTTGATTTTTCCATCCACCACATATCTCCCTTCTTTAATTTTTTCAATTCTCACATTATACTTTGCAGCTAGTCTTGCAACCTGTCAAAGGAACACTTTACATGTAATCTGGCACATGCACGCAATCATAATACTCAGCCATTCAAAGAATGTACAAAACAATAACAACCAAATGGCTAGATAACTAGAGAAGAGAGGGAGATTATAGTATTTCATGATGTTTTGAAAAGGAAATGAACTAATATAAGTTTGAGTGATTAACAAGATTGAATAAGTAGAAGATTGAGTTAGGAAGAATTCTTCTAGATACAAATATTTTTCCACTTACATCAAGTGTTACTTACATTACAACATAATATCACATCAATATTAACTGTCAAAATTTAAATTCAAGGATAAAAGGATTACAAAGTAGCCAAGTGTCTCCAATACAT